ACATTTTTTAATGTGATAAACACATGGGAGACAGAACAATTATCAATACGCTGTGACTGTGTCAAGCTAAATGAATAAAGTAAGAATAACAAGAACTAAATTCCAACAAGAAAACAATAGGACTTTCCTGTTACCAGGCTCTGACACTGAAACAGGAAGGTCAGTCATGACTCAGGAGCAGTATTGCACAGTCAGCAATAAAGTTAAGTAAAGTCATAAAACTGAAGAATAAACCCATAGGTCAGACAATGAATGCATGATGTACATTCTAAATTGCAGTCTTTGTAATTTGCTAATTGCATTGTTTCAAACTCTGATTTTAATTTGAAAATCGATTAATTGTTCAGCCCTGGGACTTATGCACGCAACAAAATGATCAGCCTGCAGAAAGACACATTCAAAAAAAGCCTTTCTGCATGCACATGAGAGACTTGCATGCATGGCAACTTGCGAGAGTTTGCACAGTGGTCTCAGCATATGTTAACCGCTGTGACAACCGGAAAAGAACCATACACACGCACACGCACGCTCAGCCTTAAAACCCTGCACTTTTCGCTGCCTTCGCTTTCAGGAAGCGGAAGATACCATGTTGTTCATACTTTACATGGTAGTGCCTGTGGTAAGTCTTTTGCAAACAGGCGTAAGAGTCAGTGAACAATCATCTGATTATCTAAACTCACGGCTAAAGCGTGGTACTCAGATGATTCTTGTTCCTTAGAAGCGAAACTGTAACTCGCAAACCAGGCAGTAACGTTGGCGAGTAGTACTGATAGAAGTAACTCTGTCGCTAATTTAGCTGCTAGCTGGCAAACAACAAATACATTAACCGCTAAATATTCTTCCAGACCTGTCTGCATGAAAACAATGTTTGACTTTACGATGCATTTTTTTTTTTACCTTCACAAGACTATCCATGAGTTTCTCTATTTTAGAGTCTCCAGCTTTTCAATGTTTACAAAATGAAACGGCGCGCCGCCTGGTGATGACGTCACACACTAAGTCGCGGAATAATGACGTCTAGAATAGCTTCATTATTTTATTCTGCTCAAAAATAATAACAAATAAGTACCGTTTATCTTTATTATTAATGCGGAAATTGGGTCACGTTGTGATTTAAAATTAATCTGCTGATATTAGAAGTGATTTTTGGCTTCTTTTTTTTTTTCCCCTGCAGCAGCTGGTGTCGTCAACAAGACCGGAGACCCCCAGTGACAGAGCCTCTGTCCCCCACCCCCCACCATACACCCTGTGTGCTACATCAATGCACAGCTTCAAAACAGGATTAATATTATCCTTTTGCATATTTAAAGTTGCTTACACCACATATAGAGATTTTGCACCTTCTTGGGCAAATAACTGGCTAAGCTGTACAGCTGTCTCACTGAAATAACACAGTAAATATTTTTTATTGCTTTTATTATCGCTTTTATTTAATACACTTGCTTTTCAATTGGCTTGTAATACTTAGCTCACTGTTTATTTGACTTGCAACACATGCTTTTATTATCTTTTATCCTTCTTTTTTTATTTACTTGTCAGGGTTTATTGTTATGCACTAAAACACCACATCAAATTCCTCACATGTGAAATCCTTCTTGGCAGTGAAACGGATTCAGGTTCTGATCGCTGTGGATGTAAACCAAGTCACACTGAGATTTCTTTTTGTATTAATTCTGTCAGTGGCTACTTTATAACCTAATTGTGCCTCCTCCATCTCCATTCGTTACAAAACCACATCTCTAATAATTTCTTTCATGAGGCATTCATGGCTACCCTAATTCATTAATTCATCCATCAACCCATTTATCCGATAGCCTATTTATCCGAGGGAAAGCCGTGGTCTAATGAATAATCTAGCAATTGAAAAACACACAAAGAGTAGCCTACAACATCACACACTGACTTTTATTTTGGAACAAATGGGCCAATTACACTGATTAATTACCAATTCAGGCTTCATATCGCTCATTTCCGCTGAGGCACAATGTAGAGGATATGTAGGCGTTTGATCTGTAGATGGAGAATAAAGGGGGTATTATATGCTATTTCGGTATAATTCCGTCCTTGGGCTGTGAGATATGACAGGGGTGAAGGTTCACCACAGTCTGGGAACAGACGTCCAGTGTCTCTTGGCTTCCTACAAATCTTACTGAACCAAACAAAGACTGAACATGGAAAAGGCAGACAGGAAGAGAGAGGCGAGTGCTCTCATCATTTGGTGTCTCAAGAAAAATACGGATATTTATGAAATCCAGTGCTGTGTTTGCCATGTATCCTAATAAATGAGTCTGTGGTCATGTAGGTTTTTTAAAAATGTATTAAGTAAAATATATTCAATCTAACTGTGCCCCTGATGTTGTGGCCATTATTTAAGTAAATATTGAATAAAAATGATTTCACTGAAATTCACTTAATCAAGGTAAACAAAACATAATCTTTCTGTCGATGTAATTCCAAAGAATATTGACTAAACAAATCTTAATTTAATTAGCCACTTTTTAATTGAAAGCATGCTTTTATTTTGAATGTAGCGATCGATTATCTAGCCACAGTGCATGAATGTGGATCAATTCTGTCCCTGCATGACAGGTACAAGATGTACACACCTTTCACCTCAAGTCGACAAGGATTAGTCTGCCTCACTAGATAGAGATTGCAAGTATAAACCTGCCATTGGCTGCACATATTACTTGGCTTTCTCCTCCCCTTCTGGTATCTACGACAACCTCCAGGCTTAGCAGCCTAACACACTGAGTTCTGATAAAGGTTTGGATCGTGCAGTAAGGCAGTTCTGCAGGTTTTTCCATGAATTATCCATTTCAGTGACGATGCTCAGCTCCCTGCATGCAAAAGTTCCACCAAAACAATTTCTCTGTCACCACTTTGAGGAAACACCATAACTGCATGCTTAATTCTTCTCTGCCCAAAACAAATCAAAGCAATTTCCCACTACAGCAGAATGATAATTAGGTGCAGTCAGACCATTCTGTAAAGAAGAATGGACCAACTATGCCCAACTGGCTGGGACATCCTATAAGATAAAACAGGTATAGCAAAAAGATGAATACACCGTACAAAATGATTGCTTTTCTTTTCTTTTTTCTTTCTTTTTTTTTTTTAATTGCAATGATTTACTGGTATTTTACTGATTTTTTCAGTTTTGATAAATTACAGATAATAACTAGTAAAATTGCAGTAAGATTATCTCTACATGTTGCCTTAAAAATAAATAAATAAATAACAGGCCAAAACTGTAAATAAAGTTTATACTAAAAATCTGTGTTTTTCCAAATGTGAATTCATTCTTTCACAATGTGACCATAAAAGTCCAGTGTTTTTTTTACTGTATTGAAATCAACATGGATATTATTATTTAACAGATATGTGATATGTTTGAAAGAAAATATATATGAAATGTGTATTATTTACATTTTAAATGTTTTTGTTTTGTTTTATTTTTATTGTTATTTATATTATTATTTGTTTTTATTGTATTTTTTATATTTTTAACATATTTTTAAAAATATATTTTTATTTTATTTTTTATTCTCTTTGCTATTTAATCAGATCTAATAGCAAAGAGAATTTAAAAAAAATGCATATCAAACAAGAGCTCGGGTCTTAAGAGGTTTAATTAGCTAAAAATGTCGTTATTTTACAGATATTTGCCACTACTTTCAGTTTTTGAACATTTCAGAATACCACCATTTTAAAAAAAAAAGTATTATTTCTGAAACTCGTGCTGCCAGTTTTTTTTGTTGTTTGTTTGTTTTTTAAATAGATTTTTTACAGTGTACACTGAATAAACTCAAATGACTGCAGTGATCAAAATTATTAAAATATTTATTATTGGCTAGTATTATGTTAATTCCCTTTTGTTCTTTTATTGTATGTATTTTATTGAATGTATAACTTTAAAGGGCTTCATTGAATGTTTATAT